GACGAGTCGATTGGTGCCATTTTTAGCGCTCTAGGTCTACTGGGTGGGCCACAATCTGCTGTGCAAATTTGGGCCACGTGACGTTTGCTGACCTCTCTAGGTCAAACGGCTGGGAGTGCCGCCGAATGACTCAGACTGTGGGTTGGGCATGTCAGGACCTACATCGTGTGCGAGTTTCAGCTTGATCGGAGATGTCCCGAATCTGGGCTGAATCCGGGCTGCGACGTACTGAGTGTCGTTTATTTGTACCTTTTGACCTGCCGAGGTCAAACGGGGTCACATATCGAGAAGCGATTTTTAAGGAAAGTTACTACGGCCTATGGGCTACCCGATGATGTGCTTTGATTTGGAATTCGGTCAATTCCTCTACTCGAAAACTGCTGTGCAAGTGTATTTTCGACATAGCCCACAAATGACCTTAGGTCATCGCATGACCTTGAGAGGTCAAATGAGTGTTGGGAAAGTAAGATTAGATGTTGGCGAGTCGATTGGTGCCATTTTTAGCGCTGTAGCTCAACTGGGTGGACAACAATCTGCTGTGCAAATTTGGGCCACGTGACCTTTGCTGACCTCTGTAGGTCAAACGGCTGGGAGTGCCGCCGAATGACTTGGACTGTGGATTGGGCATGCCATGGCCTATGTTGTGTGCAAGTTTCAGCTTGATCGGAGGTGTCCCGAATCTGGGCTGAATCTGGGCTGTCTTGACGGACATTTATGTTAGGCGACATATAGGTACGGGGACCCGCAGTTGCTAGTTGCTACTGTACACTAGGGTGTTTCATTACACTATGGTAAAATAATGTTGGTTCAAAACTCAGCCATATCGACTTTGCCCCAACTCTACCCGTAAAACTGAATCGATTGATACGCTTGAAACCCAAATTTAAGTATATTTAGGGGTCGCACACTTTTGTCACCAAAACTCGTTACACAGAGAAGGGGGCACATCCTTCCTTGGTGCGCTTGGGCAGCGCCTTCCGGTTGAGTTCCACGACTCGCAGACCATCGTTGTTAGGGCCCTGCCGCCCTCAATAGACCGTTGCAGAGCCCTCAGATGCCAGCATAGCCCCCGCAGCCTGGTTGTGTTGGGGCCCTCAGAGGCCGTCGCTGAGCCGCCTGAAGCCAAATGGGCCCTCAGACTTGAGTTGGGTCTAGGGCCGTCACGAGGGCCCTCAGAGACCGTCGTAGAGACCCTCAGGGGCCAGTGGGGCCCCTGGAGTCCTGTGGGACCCTCAGCGGTCGTCATGAGGGCCCTTAGTGGTCGTTATAGGGCCCCAGGGGACAGAGTTCGTCGTGAGAGCCCACAGAGATCATCGTAAGGGCCCTCAGAGGCCGTCATTGATTGGGGCCCTCAGAGGCCAGCGTGGCCCCTGGAGTCTCTGTGGGACCCTCAGCGGTCGTCACGAGGGCCCTTAGTGGCCGTTGTAGGGCCCCAGGGGACAAAGCCCTCAGGTGGGAGCCCTCAGAGATCGTCATAAAAGGGCCCTCTGAGGCCGTCGTGGGGGCCCTCAGATGCCGTGTGGAGCACCAAACGCGGCTCGGGACACTTCTAGCCGGTGTGGAGGCCCCGACTAGCATGGGGCGCTCCTGACCATAAATAGACACCCCGGATGATTCCACATCAGTGTTCGTTTCCCGATCACTGGTTTTCAGGAGAAAATGTATTGGATGGTGCGACGGGCCCCTTGTATGGATTTTGGGGGTGCAAAAAAGATATGTTTGCACCCCCATGTTTTCGATGGGGGTGCAGCTGCACCCCCTGCACCCCCTATTCCGCCGCCACTGCCTGGCTTTCTCAACCAAATCAGCTCGCAGGAAGACTACTCATGTTACGGCCAGAAACAAAATCAGAGATGAAAAGTCGCAGAAATGTGCGACCTCTAAACTTCATCAGAATGAAGTGAAATTTTACACAGAAACTTGTGAGCAGATGACATTTGAGGGGTTCATCGATATGACTCGCAATATGGCACTTTGAAAATGTGAAATACCCTACTGTACACGAACCCCAACTCTAGCCGTCTGTCCTGTCCAGTAACAACCGATAACATTGATATCGACTGCCGGTCCCTGTACAAGAGCAGCTGAGGTTTTCTGTGCGTGCCCTCTGACAGCTTATCGTCGTTTCCTGTGAAGGTGCTGACTGCTGGGACAATTTACTTAGGGTTGCTGTACAATAGCAACTGCGGGTCCCCGTACTTACACACATACCACAATGAATAGATTCGTTCATCACTGGTTAATTTCGCACGCACAAGAAGTGCTTGAATAGCAAATAGGTATGTACCTAACTACTCTAGGCAGGTAGCGCCGTGATGCGATGGTCAAAGGACCGTTATTGCTATCGTTGGTGCTCGGAAAGGAATTATTTGCGCTATCTCCCACTGATTACTTTGTTATTGACGTCAGCGGCACAATTAAGTGGTAATAAACACATGGCATAGCGATGGCAAAAAAGCAACTGACTATCGTATTATTATTGCTCGAAAATACTGGAAAATAAGAAGCTGGTAGAAGGTATGCACCAACCAACGAATTTTGGTTGTATGTTGGCACATTGCACAATGCTTATCAATAATGTCTTGACATTGGTAAGTTTTATTTAGGAATTCCTACGCATTTTAAAACATTCCCATAAACGAGTACATAGGTGCTTTGAGTGATGTATAGACAAATACTAGTTTTTCCTACTCAATATAACTATATCTACATAGGTACTTTATGGGCATTGTGTTTGATATATTTACTATTTTTTTTAACAACAAATGGAATCTAAGACCCGACCAATTCGTTTTCCTTAACAACAAATGAGAACCGAGGATATTGGGTTTCAGTAGCACATTCATCTACCTACACATCATCGAACCTCTCGCTTTATTTTATTCTATTTTATTCTATTTTATTTTATTTCAGTCTTTTTTGACGTCCTGAGAACTGTTTTCGAGTTCGTTAGACCGGTTTCGATCAGGCATTAGCCAGGATTTTGCGCAGGGAAGGGCCACAGGTCGCGGCCTAGTGTCTTACCCCATCCCAAAATGAAATCTCGGATTTGGCCCACTTTTCAGGGGGCTGTTGTTAGGGTGGTGGTTGTTGTGGTTGTTAAGGGCCGTGCAGCTGTTGTTGTTTATTTTTATTTCTCATTAAAATTTATTTTATTTTCGCCTTCAGGGGAGGGGCATAGTCCCGTTCCCCCCTTCACCCTTGGCTACGTCCCCGGTTTCGATGCGGCAAACGGCAATGCGGTTGCCGTTGTTCTCTCATCGTGAAGTGCATATTATTATATTTCGAAAAGGCGAAAAAGTTCCGAACTGAAGGTTAACCCGCGCCCAGATGGGGTCTGCCGAGCAACGCGTTCTGATGGGGGGGGGGGGGCATTTTGGCCCCCCCTCAGATCTCGAGAACCACGCAACATAGCGACAAGCGGTAAACGGTGTTGGATAGCCCCAACGGGGAACTACCTTGTGACCCAATTTCATTGACCTCGGTCAAACCGATGACGTCACAGGTCAGGTCAAAGGTCGAATTTTCACCGTTTACAGGCATTTCAAGAAATGCGTTGCAAAATCGAGTAAAATGCATTTCATTGAAAATCATCGATGGGGAAATGTTCTTCAAACACATATTTTGCTATTTGAGGTCACTGATACCAGGTCAGGTCACAGAGGTCAGGTCACTGGGGGGGGGGGGGTCACAATATGAAAGTGTCGTGTGATACATGTTTTATGGTCCATTTTACATGACAAATGCGATTATGTGGGTCAGACAGACTTTAGGGTCAGCTTAGGTCACGTTTTGGTCAAGGTCAGGTCAAGGTCAGGTCAAGGTCAGGTCAAATTAGGTCAAATTTCAAAGTTGATATTTTTGCGTAAAATGGGTATCGATTCGATGCAGCTCGTCACGGGGAGTTCAATGGTGGTCTCCGTTTTGCGCTACGAGGTCTAGAATTGCTAAAAATTGAGTTCAAAAATTTGACGTCATCAATTTTTAACAGTTTTTTTCGCTATAACTTGGCCAAAAAAAGAGGTATCGATCTAAAATTTGGTATGTATATCGAAGACCGCAGGGACTATCACATGTATTCCGTTTTTTTGAAATTCGAAAAATTTTGGATTTTTTTTAGTTTTTCTAAAAAAATCAACTTTTTTATTTTTGGGGGTCAAAATCCCAAATATTTCGAAAATTCGAGATAGCGGTTTTGTAGCGCCGTCTTTTTTCTACACAACCACATAAAGAACTTTAAAATTGCTTGTTAACTGTAGAATTGGTGAGCGTTTCAAGATGTCATGTTTTTTGCTCATTTTTACTCGAACATGACCTCAGTTTGACCTCAATAACTCCTGACCTGAGGTGACCTGTGACTTGAAATTTTGTGTGAAGGTGTCAAATTGATGCCCGGTAAGGTACCCAAAATTTGGCGGCGCTGCGCGCCGCCGTTTTCTCGCTATTTAAGAAAAACCACAGGGGGGCCAAAATGCCCCCCCCCACCAGGGCGCGGGATTTATTAAGAATGACAAAGTGCCCCCCAAATCGTCATTTTCACCGAATGTTGACTGCTCGAGTCAAAGCACCTGGTTATTATCGGCGATTGTCGGAAAAGTAGAAGTTTGGGAAAACATGCCGCTAAGAAACTGAACCTGAAGACTGCTCTAAGATAAGAACTCAAAATGCTGGCACAATGCTCAGAATAAATTTTTGGGCAATGTCACCGGACACCGAATTTCTCGTCGCTAGCTCAATCCGTTTTCATTCAGAACCAAAAAGCACTGAAGGGCCGAAAGGCCCCCTCCCAGCACCACCACCATTAGGTACTTACAGATTATGCCCCCCATCGCCCTTCTTTTCAAATATGTCATTCTTCGCCTAGATACATCGCGACATCTGTGATTCAACTCTTAGTAAATCGTTCTAATTTTCACCCCTCCGTTTGTGTTCCGCCGGCCGCCTCAGCTCGGTCCAATCCACTGCGGCCGCAGCCAGCGCCACCTACCGACGGCAGTCGGTATCGCTCGCCGAGGAGGCACCTCTCCGCGCCGACCGCCGAGCGGCATTGTGGCGTCGAGCCGCCGCGAGGAAGGGTCGTTTCGACAGCGCGCTAGTGACAGGTCGCCGTCGCCGCCGTTTCCGTCGTGCTCGCTGCCGTCTGCACGTTTCGGTCACTTTGCCGTTTGTGTTTGGATCCGAGTTTCGCCAGCGTTCGCGTGTCGTGATCCGTGCCGTTGGGTCGTCCGTTTCCCTCTGCCGTCCCGCGCCTGCAGTGAGAACCATGCGCGGGTTGCTGACGGCTCTGCTGCTAGCGGCCGGCGTCGGGATCAGCTCGGCGTTGTCATGTGCGCCGTGTGAGAAGGCCTCGTGCTCACCACCCGACTGTCCCGGTCGCATCGTGCGCGACGTCTGCGGGTGCTGTGACGTGTGCGCGCGCGGCCTGGGCGAGCCCTGCGGAGGACATTTCGACGCGTACGGACTGTGTGATGATGGCCTCGTCTGCCAGACGTCGCCCGAGCATGGTCAGCCGGTGGTGACCGCCGCCAAGGGCGTCTGCATCGGTGAGTACACAGCCCGCCCCCGCCCCCGCCCCCGCCGCCGGCCCGGCCCGGATCGTCCCGCCCAGTCCCCGGGGCTGAGCTTGAATACAGCCGGCCCCGAGCGACGCTAACTCGGCCTCTTACCGGACCCCAAGCAGCCCTAACCGAACTCGTAACTAGCCGCGGGATCGTAAACTCGACGAGGCCTGCCCGCCGCGTCGTGCCCCCGCGGCCGTGCTCGGTCGTGCTCGGTCGTGCTCGCCGTGCCCGGCCGTGCTTCGTCTCATGACCGTAGCTCGCAGCGCTGGGCGAGCCGGAAGGCGCGGTCGGCGCGAGCTCTGAGACGGGTTTTTTCCACTCATGGCTCCTCCCGTTGACCTCACATAGCTGGGTTGACGGTGAACATTCTGAACCAGCCTTACATGGATTATTTGCTGTAACAACACGGAAGCATAGGGACGAATGCACGCGGATGTGAAATTCCCTAAGCGGAAGTTCTGCATCATAAAGCGTGCATCGTGATGCGTAAATTTGGCCTGATGCCAGAGGGTGCATTATAAACATCACACGATGCCCCCTAAATCATGCAGCGGCGGCTCGGGTCAGGTCGTGTCTCGTCAAATCTCGTTCGGCTGTGCACGTGACTATCTCAGTGGCCAGTCTCCGCGGCGCCGGGCCGGCCGGCCAGCTCCGGTTCGAACGGCCGACCCAGCGCGGCGCCGCGCTGGGCGGCCTGGCACGGGGCCAAGTTCATAAGCAGGTGAGCCGCCCGCCCGTCCGACCGTCCGTCCGCTCAGCACAGCCAGCCCAGCATAAACTGGGCGCGAGGTAGCTACCGCGCTGGTCGCTGGTCGGTAGCTGAGGACACTGGATCTAGGGGTTAGGGATAGATAGGGGTGTACTCAAGTGTGAACGGAGCGTCGGATTGACTGGTGCCCGCGAACGCCCCTCCTGCGGGTGGAAATTAGCACTAGTTTGGCAGAGGGACCGGCCGCTTCACGGCTTGTGTGGGAACGGTTCCGCGCGTGCCACCTGCCGCTGGGTCCATTCCGTGTCTGGCGACGGCTGGAGGGGAGCAGGCGACGCGCCTATGGTCCACTCGCCATTGACAGGCGGCGCTTATATGGGAGGGAGCCCGGAGAGGTGAGGGACCACCCAGCCGGGCTCAGACCAAATTTGAACGGACCGACCAACTGTGAGACCGACTGAACGCAAACAGAAGAACACTGCACAGAATAGCACTACGCTGGTACGGTGACACGGATATATGGGCTGTGGCCATTGTCGGTTACAGGTGTGAAAACGGCCTAGAAACCTGTCGAGCGATCATTCATTAGCATGTGAATAGCGCCGTTGGTCTGGTCGGGGATGTTCAAAGGCGTGTTACGAAAGTAGCCGGTGTTGTGGGGCCTTACTCTCGGAGGCCACGCTATGGAGTCGTATGATTTGGTCGTCAAGAGGCGAAAGTTCCGTAGCTCGTCATTCTGAGCCGCCCTGGAGAGAGGAAGTTAGGCGAGAGTACAATCTAGATCCGGCCGCTAACTTCTCAGATGCTTCATCAAGGTCTGCTGGAAATCCCAGAGGGTTGGCAGCGCTGAGGAGATTCGTAATAACATGTGGTCAGTGTAGCTCGAAATATTAAAGCGACACTTTAAAAAATGAACATCCAAGCAACAGCAATTCTAAGCATATAAATTTTTACAATCTTTACCGATGTTACCTCCTTGCATGCACAAAGAAGCTCATTTAAATCCAATTTACCATACGGTATGCATATGGAGATAGTCTAAAGCGACAAGCTTTTCTAAGAATATTCCGCGGAACGTTCTTAGAAACGTTCATGGCACGTCTAAATAAGTGAGCCTTGTCCCTAGTAACCCGGTAGACGTTATAAATATTTGCAATACGGTCACGCAATACGCCTAACGGCATACCCATTTCCTGCGAATTCCAAGCTCAAGTGGGGCGTTATGTCGTAGTTTTCAACTGGCATTGATTTTGGATAAGAAGCATGCAAGCATTTTGTTTTGCTTTGCAGGCAGCTATACTGAAATTTCCGTCTCTTTCGGTGTAAAATAAGCGTCCGGTCTTAGTTCGGGTTGGTATTGAGCCGTTGCAAAAAAAAAACGATATCAATTGGTTTTCAAAGACAAAACGTAAAGTTTCTGGCCAGTTTCTATATGATGAAAACCTCGGGAAATCGGAAACCATTCTGCAAATAAAGTTTTTGTGGGGCACAAATCATCCTGATTATTTCCAAGTCTACCAGTGAACAATGACAATGGCTCTCGTACCCGTGCATGTAGAATTGTAGAGCACACACATGTTCAACAATGAATAAAATAACACAGCTCACATTACAGCCCACAGTCCAGCGGGGCCGCTTATGCGCAGCAGGCCGCTAGCAACCCTTCTGTTGAATGTCATCAATGGGCCCCTGACTGGCGGCAAACTTTCAGGGAGCTCCGGGAACCCCGCCCCGGCAGGGCTCTCTAACAGAGCCAACAAACCCCGAGTGATGTTTAACTGGCCGGCAGTGTGTTGCGGATGTTTAAACAGCAATATCGCGCCGCCTGTTTGGTTCGCGGTGGAAACTGTGACGTCGTACCTACCTTGCCATGTAACAGTTGCTGGGACGTTCTTTCGGCTGACGTGCGGTTTTGGCGGTGCGGTGGTCAGAGGGTATAAAACGGCTTCGGGTACGGTTAGGGGCTAGAAGACCTTGCAACCTCAAACTTACGCGAACATAAGCTTGCAGAAGGCCTGGCGAGCGTGGCTCGGTAGTCGTTTAGGTGTGGATTTTACCAAATTAGTAGCTCCCCACCGAATTGAGGCGGCGGCGGTCGCGGGCAGCCGCAGGCGACCACCGCACACAAAACGCTCGCGCCTGTGTCAGTTTTTTTTTCGGTCGCCATCCCGTATAAATGTTTTCGAAGGAGCACAGCATGTGAGCGACAGTTTTTAGGCTCTGTGATCGAGTCCCGATATATGCGTGACTTTTTGTGACCACTTCGCGGAACTGAATGGGCCATTAGTGTTAGCAGCCATCAATGTTTTGCCGATTATGAATATCACCAAAATCATCAGAACCATTCCCCATCGTTATCCGCGTTACCAGCCAACGCTCATACACGCCTAGGGAAGCCGTTCAAATGCGCCCAAAATGCTAACCATTTTCGCCCGCTTCAGCCGTTTCCACACTGCACCCCTTAGCGCCTGTTGCCACTCCATGCCGTCGACCCGATATCTCTATCATTCAGAGCCGCCGTTCGGCTCAAGGCTATATAAACCAGGTAGAACGCTCCGGGAAAAAAGTTGGAAACAATAAATTAGTTGCAGCATTCCCTGATGACGCGAATGTGGGTCAGCGGCCGGCGGCCGGCGGCCGCTAACACTGTATGAGGATGAGTGCACGGAACTTTTGCTTGTTGGAGATTGCGCTAGGCAGTTAAATGTTAATGTTAGGATATGTTACGAAAGTAAATTGAACGACGCTTCGAACGCCGTCAATGAATTTGCGATGCGACGCGTATTTGTTTAGTTAGAGCCGGCGAACTTTTACCTTCCGACCGCGCGGGGAGGCGATATGGTGCCACACTGACGGTTTTTAAGAAAGCTCAAAATTCTTTTAAGCTAAAGAGCTGAAATTTGACTCGTCCAATCTTTTGATCAAGCTGGATCTTCTGGTACAGGTCGCATATTTAAGGAACGTTAGGTTGTTGACCTATGTTGTCGCTCGTGAGCCTCTGCACAGTCCAAAAACAATGCAATTTCTGAACACTCAGTGCCAAGAAATCCTTCACACAAAGATGACACTTGGCAGAAAGAAGAGCTGTCGGTTTCTTATCGTTCGTATGTGTCGTGTTTTCACAAGAGTTTAGTAAGGTCAGGTCCGTCACGTGACCTCCCCTCATAACTCAATAGGTTTACTTTCATAGAAGCGTTTATCAATCGCCGGAAATCTTAGCCAATCCCACTGGACACTGGATCCATACCCACATGGGGCCCTTCTGACTGGCCACTCCCTCTGAAATTCACAATAACATTGGGCTGCGGCCACGGTTATGTATTAATGCTTTTCACTGACAGAAATACAACAACTTCAACCACCACAGTGCACGCCGCCACGACAGTCCGACCCACGTCCCTGATATCGACTAGCACCCGGCCGGATGCACATACGCGGAGCCAATCAGTCCGAATGTGACCTGAAGCTTACAATTGCTGTGTCGCATGGCGCATGGCACAGGACGATTCCTAGCAGCTGTCGGCTGAAGTGGAGAAACAGCACGTTGCGACACACCGCGCCGGCGACAGAGCTCAGCAGGGCTGGTTTGAGGCTAAAGCCGGAGGTAAGGGCGGACACAGGCACATACATTGCAGGACAAATAACAGGATGTCAGTTAGGGATATAATTCAAGACGAATGATTCAAGACGGACTGAAATAATGCACATTCTGCTCACTTAGATACCAACTTCAAACTTGACATTTATAGCACCACGGAAACAATTGGCACACAGGAAAGAAACAAAAGATGAGGTGTTTTTAACTCTAGGAGGTAAAAAGAGGTTGCATATGATGGAACAGCCCGAAGTGCAGACAAGCACATATTTTTGGTAATAGCTATCAGCTGTCCTACTTCTCTTCTCCCTTCACCAACTACTGGACACATTTGAAGCATCATATTAGCACCAATGTCCATAACAAAAGCTTGCAAGTAGTTTTATGAAGCCAAGATAAATATATCATGCATGTAAGCTCAAAATGCATTACAAAGGAAGGTTATCTAAAGAGAATAGTGGGCAAAAGCATTTCATAGTTAAATTATTCAAAACTGCACACAGGGCAAACATAAAAAGCAGCAAGTGTAGTGTTCTGTTATGCTTAAAAATAGTCCAAAACAAAATACAATCTTATCTTGTTTGAATTGGTTGTTCTTCTATGCCACTTCATCCATATCTTGATTACAGATGGGCTGTTACTGTAGGCTGATGAAGTGACACTTGATTGCCTTTGTGC